GTTTTGTTGCGATCTTGTGATTATTTCTTCTGCATTAAGAGATGATTGAAGTTTATACTTTGTACTCTTTAGTCTTTAGTTAGTTCTTCATAAGTGCCTCTGAGTTTGTTATCTAGATTCCTTTATCATAGTTTCTTGTGTTATAATGTTAGTTTTGTGTCTCAGCTTTGTCTCTGTGTCTTGTCCTCTGCGTCTGCTATGGAACATTACCTCTCTGTCTAACCAGTCGTGTCCCTATTTGGTTTCTTAGTCCTTGTCTCAGTGTTTGTTACTTCCTGTTTTATTTTGATAGGCTCTTGTCTTGTATGAATTCTTAGTTTTGCTTCCCTTGAGGTGTTAGTCAGATTCCATTCAGCTGTGTTCCCCGCTGTTTCCCATCTCCCTAATTACCTGGTGTTTACATATAGTCTTACTCTCCGTTTGTTCTTTGCTGTGTTGTCCCTCTTAGTTGTGTCTCTCTGTGTTCTGTGTTTTTAATCAAGTATTATTGTTTTGTGTTTTGTTAGGGCTTACAATAAAGCTGTTTTTGAGTTTTATGCCTCGACTTCCAAGTCTTGCAGTTGGAAAGCAAATGTTAGTTCCATCAGCCTCAGCTATGCTTTGTGTTGGTTCCAACACAATGTAGTAGTCAATGTTAGCATGCTAAACATCATCACATGTTAGCATATTAGCATACTAAACATCATAACATGTTAGCATATTAGCATACTAAACATCATCACATGTTAGCATATTAGCATACTAAGAGTTCCTGCAACATACTAAAATTTACTTCAATTTGTTTTAAAAAGCTAAAGCTTCACTTAACTTTACCTCTATTAATAGATTAAAATAAATGATCAAAGATCAGTAGGAAAAATTGGCCTTGTCATTTAAATTTGAATATTTCTCTGAAGTATAGAGTCATGAGAAAGTACCCCCACTTTCAATTGTAATGTTTTATGTATCAGGACATAATAAAGATAACCTGGTCCTTAGAAGGTCGTGTAATTAGTGAAATTACTTTTATAGATTGTGCTCTATAAAAGCACAAGTTTTGCTAGTTTGGTCAGTAGCATTCAGGTTTATGGTAGCACAATGCTAAAGAGGAAAGATACCAGTAAAGATCTTAGAGAAGCAATTGTTGCTACAGTAAGAAAGAATATTCTTGAGTGGAACACATTCAAGACAGTTGGCAATCTGCCCAGGAGTGGAAATCCCTGCAAATTCAGCCTTGACTCAAGGTCAGCTTGTCCAATGCTCAGAAAAACTGCAAAAAACCCAAGAGCTAAATCATGGACCCTACAGGCCTCTGTTAGCATGTTAATGTTAAAGTTCATGACAATAACATTAGAAGGTTTGGAAGCGTTGCCAGAAGAGAACCCTCTCCTTTAAAAAGAATATGGCAGCACAGGTTAAGTTTGCAAAGTTGCCTTCGACCAAACCACAAGACTTATGGAGCAATGTCCTTTGGACTGATGAGACCAAAGTGGAGATATTTGGCCAGAACGCACCACACCAGTTTTTGCAGAAAATCGAACACAGCACAGGTCATCATAAGGACACTGATTTCAAAACAACAAATCATACAAAAGAATAAGTGAAAAAGAAAATATTTAAGATGTCTCAATGGCCCAGTCAAAGTCCAAATCTTAACCAGATTGAATGAAAGAATAAATGAATGCCTGCAAACCTCAATGAAAGGAAGCAACATAGTAAAGAAGAGGGGACAAAATTGCTCCACAATGATGTGAGCTACTGATGAAGTAATTACTTCAAGTTATTGTTGCTCAGGGTGCTTCTACTTCCTATTGTATCATGTGATCCCCTTAGTTTTTCACACATTTCTGCATTCTTCATTCTTAGATTAGTTTTTGTTGACTACATTATGACAGATTAATACATGATGTAATGTTGTTCATCTGAGGTTGTATTTACCTACTTTTAAAACCTGAAAGAAATCTGTATATATAAATATTTTTTTAATTTTGTTCTCCCATTTAGAACAAAAGAAATATCTCTTTTTTTTGTACCTTGATAATATGTAGCTCTCAGTTTCAGATATTATACCAAAGTTACAAAGTTGTGACCCACTGGCGTGTAATTTTCTTGTCTGAAAACAAGATCACACCTGTGTACTCTATGCATACATTTCTTCCTAACTCTACCTGTGGTATGCACATTTTAATTACATTTCATGTAACTACATTTGTGTGTTTTGATTTCAGAAATCCTAAACTACAGAAAGATAATGATTAAACTGCTAAAGACAACTAACAGATGTGCATGATTCTTTCTTTTGCGTCATTTCCAGAGGTTGGAATAACAATAATTTTTCCACTCCTGCCAGCAGCACAAATACATGGACTTCTTTTCTGCTGAGCCAACTCACAATAAATGGATAGTACTTGGCAAGATTGAGAATAAAAACACAGACATGATCTTTGAAAGTATGTTTGGGTAAATTAAACAAGGCATGAAAGTGTTCACATTTACAGCCTTTTACCGTAATCTTGTATTGAATACCTCATAGGGAGGAGATTGCCAGTATGCATTTGGACATTTAACTGAGTAAGGTTGCTATCAACCCTTAATCCCTGTGAAAACATTTCAGGAAGAAACTTTACTGTTAAGATTCTGTGCTTTTTAAAATTCTTCCGTTAGTCTTTGTAACAGAGATCCATGTCTTGCAGTTCTCAATCCATCCTCTGGATGGCTATACTCACCCAGAGATGAGCGGTTTCCCAGTTTGTTTTGACTCTCGGCACAGTGTAAAATTCTTCCTCTGTTATGAATTTCCTTTCGAGCTTTAAATCTTCTATGAAACACAACATCGCAGCATTTAAGGCCTTGAATTTTTAAAGGGTCTTACTTGTGAATTACAATAAACTACATTTCAAACCACTGTGTGGTGTTTTCCATGTATTTACTGTAGTTAGTTTGAATGTATTTCACCTTAACCTGCTATTGGGATTTTTTTTTTA